GACGTGCGTTGTTTGCGCGCCGCGAGTGTTGAAGGAAGAAGAGGAAGGGATGACTTAGTTAAGAGAAATGAAGACCCTAAGTTAGAAGCTGATGTTGTTTGGTTCATCCCGACTTCTGGGCTGGGGTCCGAAGGATGATGAGCACGCTTGGTTGGATACACTTGCGGATATGGCAAAGAGCCGGCCCCAATGACGTTGGTATTGTAAGTTTCTTGGTCCACCCCACTCTCCTTTAGATTGCCACTCCAGTTAGGATCGCATAGCAAAGGAATAATATGATATTTAACATTATATTACTTGCCTTTTGAATTTTGTAGTGTAAGTTTTAGTACCTTATTTTCTTTGTATTGCGCTACATAAGGTGAGGTGTGTTTCTTACCCTCAACGTGAATTGATGAGGGTGATGATTCCTTCACTCGCATCTTCAGCAGCGTCCGTATAAACGTGTCAACAAAGCGCTCTGCTTGTCCAGTGAATTGAAGGTGGAACGGCTGCGAACGTAGGTGTGTGATACTGTCCTGGATACAGTATTCGGCAAACTCCGAAGAGGTGAACTGAGGGCCCATATAAGTGACTACAGTCTGGTATTCCATGATGGGCGAAGAGTCCTCTCAGTATACTAATTGTTGCGCCACTCGTTGTACGTTCCATGCAGAACAATTCAAGTCACCTACTGAAAGAATAAAAAAATAAGATACTGTTGTTCACGGTTTCGTTGCCCGAGGTTAGGAAGACAATTACGCTTTTTGAGCGTCTTGCTGACAAGCGGACATTTCGGACACAATTTTGCCATTTACTCCAACTCCGAGTCAATAGTTGGCTAGTAATGTGAACGCGCAATCATCTTTATTCCATGAATACCAGTGGTGTTTTCGATGAAACTGCTGCAGGATAGTTTGGCGATGCTCCCTGGGAGTAACAACCCTTTCCGCAAGAATTAGACATCTACTGACCATTGACAGTTGATTCTTTCTTCGGGACAAACCCCGCAACGTCCCATTTAGGCTGTCCTTCGGTCACGGTGTATTATGGAATCTGACCGCTTGTTGTGGAAAGGGATAGGGTATCGATGCGTCAAGCACCATCTCAGAAGTCACCTGAAGTCCTCTGAGCGTTTTCAATAGTACCGGATTCCCTTCCGATTCGAGATAAATCAATGGTTTCTTCTTGCTGGCGCTGATGGTTTTCCAATAACCGGGAAAGCGCGCCCTTCGTGGAAGTGTGCTTCACCAAAAGTCATAGCCAAGTAATGTGGTAGCCCACCGATGCAACTTGTTTGCTGTATGGACATGGATGTCCGACTTCGATCTGAAAAGTGCCAAAGGCGGTTTATGGTATGTAAGAAATGTAAACTTCCTTCCATAGAATATTTTGTGAAATTTATTTACATTGACGACTACTGTCAAGGCCTCCTTCTCTGTATGGCCGCAATTTCGTTCTGCAAGAGACAGCGACCTGGCCACATGTGCATTTCTTTTCTGAACCATCTGCGAACTTGTGGGATATGACCGCACCAATGCCATCGTTCGAGGCATCTGCGGCCACCTCGATCTCCAAGGTAGGGTAGTAATGTGTCACCAAAAGATCGGAACATAGTAGCCTTTGAACTTCGGTTAAAGCGTTTATCTTTGGTCAGTAAATCATTGAGTGGGCCGCGTAAACGATGCAGTAGGAACGGACCGCAATGGCTTATAAGTCCTAGGAGGGACTTTGGGCGGCTGCATCTTCTTGATTGTCTCGATGTTCGCTGGGTCTGGACCCCTGCCGTCTGTGTCAATTATAAAGCCTAGAAACGTAACTTAGTCAATAAAAAATAGATTTCTCAGGTCGCAGTCCGATTCCGTATTCTTCAACACGGCCAAGAATTCGATTCAGGTTTTAGAATGGGCCATCAGCACTACCTCTGACAATAACGATGTCGCCCAAGTATGTAGCTATTCTAGTGAAATCTGCCAACATAGAGTCTACTGTCTGCTGAAATAGGCTAGTGCGGATTTGATTCTGAAACGAAGCGGTGGTGCTGATACAAGCCCCGGGCGTATTGATGGTGAGTAATTCTCAGAAAGCGTTATGTACCTCGATCTGTAGGTATGCGTCGGAGAATTGGCTTGCGAAATATGTACCCCATTCAATTTCGAGAACAAGTCATCCGGCAGCGGTAAGGGCTATTAATGGACGCTTAATGCAGTACTCAGGCGGTTCAAGAAATTGTTGCATATTCGAATATGTCCGTTTGGCTTTTAGACCAAAGCAATGGGGACCGCCCAAGATGAGTAGCACACCGGATGGATAGTTCCGGCTCCCTCTCTCTCTCTCTCTTTCTAACCGATCCAGCTCCTGGTCAACAATCAGTGTTGCTGCGTAAGGTACAAGACGTCTCGTACGAAACGATGGAACGGCACTGAGCTTAAGGAGTAATTAAGCTTGAACTTGCGTGCACTTACTTACACCTTCCCCAAAGACTGAACCATACTCTTCATCCAGGATACAGTTTTGGGGGTTGTTGGCTTGTGCGTCTGGACACGCACAAATCTGGTTGATCGGAACATCCGCGAGGTTGAAACGCTCGATTCAGTCTAGAGCCAGAGGACTCAAATGCTGATGACTCGTGACAAAAGTCGTTCCCTATGCGGCTGAGAAAGCATAATGACACTTACATTCGAGTTGACCAATCAATTTCAATTTGGCACCTGATGCACTCTTCCATTACTGACTGGTACGTTTGATGTCACGGGACCCGACAAACCATCACAACCTTTATGATATGACTGCGATGTTTGAGGCCGTATCGTCCTGTAAAAGCGCCCGTCTTCCATTGGTGCTGATGCTGATGTACTTTCTTCTATCTCTGACATTGTCAGTCAAATTAGCATTCACAATCCTCGCAAAATGGTAGCGTATATTCTTACAAGCAACGTGAATAGGCCCGAAAGATAGCCTGGATCTGTAATGGGCTTCTTTGTGCCCAAGTCTACGGCATTTCTGGCAGATGTGCTTGTTGGATGGACACCATCTAATAAAATATCCGCGTAGGGGTAGGCGTCCTCGCGTGACTGGTGGTGGTCACGCGGCAGCGAAGCGCCGTTACGGCGTACAGCTGAAACATTTTATTTATTTATTATCTAACAAAATGTCAGTCTCCGCACTGCCAACAAGCTTACTTTGAGAGAGTTTCTTGCTGTAAACTTGCTCCCGGTAAGTTGTTGAACTAAAAAATCATTGGAATGCGTCTTGGTATCCTCGACCATGGTTGTGTTGCAAGTTAACGATCATCTGAGCCACTGCAATGAAAGTTTGCAGTGTGACGTCGGGATCTCACTCCAGCAGCACGAGTATTCTAGTTCGGATTCGGTATCCTTGGGAGATTGCAAACTACATATCAATATCAGACACTCAAACGGATCTTTAGTACGCAATTTCAGCTTGAATTTCTGACACTCATGTTTCACTGTTGCCGCACGGACAATGAGATTGTCGTTGTCCCTACTGCACATCTTCGGGCAATTGCACCGGTTGTGGAAAAGCGATGCCTAAGTGCCGAACATCTCCATGAGTCGGGAGATGAATTCACCAAAGCTGAAATCTTGAGCACTCTTGGGCCTAATGTAACTGAGGTATCGGTGGTGCACCACAGTTCCGAGTTTACGCAACAGTAGTCGCACTTATGACGCATCATCAAGATTTGCATGCTCTATCCTGAAAATATCTTCATAATGTCGGAACCATGCATCGAAAATCAGCCCTGAAGCGAGATCAAAAACGAACTCGCTGAAACTGTTGATTATTGTATCAACTGAAGACTACTGGGCATTTTGGACAATCGCAGACTGCAGCGATAGTGTTCGAGTGAGAATCATAATCATTCGCAGATATGCAGCTTCGAATTGCTGCTGCTGTTGTAACAAAATAGCTTTCAAATCTTTCGTAGATAGAACGTCTTGAGTTAGTTTATCTCAGTCGCCAAAATCTGTTGTTTCTGCTGGCAGTACGGATAGGGCTTCTTGGGTCCCGGTCCAGCCACTACCCAACTCAGAAAATATAGGGTCTCTGGCAAAACTCGTATCGAGCACCTGGAAGACAGTATGTAGAACCGAAACATGGCGTCAAAAAGACAGTTCATGAGAGAATGACCTAACTGAAAGTTCCTGAAATCCAGCAACAACTAGATGCATGAAAACGAGCCTGTTGGCCGTTCAAGTAGTGCGCTCACTGGCAGGTCATTCCCTTGGTAGACTTCAAGGTAACACGCTCACATTTGCTCACTCTCATTGGCTGGCCAATCAGCTTCAGGCTGCGTGCGACCAATTTTCTCAACTGCTTGAGAGAGGGCTGGTTTCGAGGGCTGCTAAGGACGGGTTCGCTTTATTGCAAATAAACACGTCTCAGTATTGTTAACATGGGAGCAGCAACGACATTTGTATGGACGCAACATCTTAGAGTTTCGTGCGCAGAATAATGGGAGATAAGAAAGAATTTGTCCCCATAGTTACCGGAAGAAGCAACATTAGTAAACAAAGATATCCGATCGGCGTAGTTGTTAGTGGAGAATAATTTAAGAATGCAGGACAGCACCGGTGTCATTGATAATGGCCGGAGAAGTGTGGTAACTAAGTACGGATAAGAAAAGTGGTTAAAATTAAAACAAAGATAAATAATAAGGGAAAACATCGCTTGCTAGTCCAAATGGGTGACAGGCGCAAGCAGGCAAGATTGGATTTTCTACGTTGGGTAATATCCATTCAGCACTACGTATAAGTACACAAGAGGATAGCTACGTAAAACAGTGCATAATGTATGCGTATTTGGATCAAAAAGCAACAACTCGGTATGGTTCCCGAAAACTGGAAGTCACCGGGATAGAGAAAAAAGTAACGTGGCCAATAACAAAGCTGGCTACAATGATTAGGCAGATGGTCACAGTGAAGCAAATAAGCCTAGCAACTGCATGAAACATATCAGAAGACTATAGATCCAATTAAACTGGACCCCAATGAACTCACAGGAGCGTGAACCAACAAGGCGTTCAATTCCAAAATCCCTGCAGCTGAAATGCTTTGCACGCCCAAAATAAAACAAGCAGGTGAGACCCAGAGCAGATCCAACGGGACGACGTAAGTGCAACCTGAATTAGAAAGGGGACAAGGGTTGAACAAACAGAAACACGTACTCATCAAGCGTTAATGGGAGACGGGTAAGGGACTCACTCGAGAAATGTCTTGTTAAAGTAGGGTTGAGCTGAATAACACGTTTCATCCGTAGCTCTGGATCAACTTGAAGAATCAAAGGTCCCCGAAGCGTTCCAGATTGAGTGGACAAAGTGCCGCCTAGGCAGAGAGCAAGCTGCTTTCCTTTGCCACTCCAAGAGACTGTAACAAGGGAAATAAAACATTAACTTATGAAAGTGTCAAATACGAAAAGTGAATAACCTTTAAAGATAGAAATGTAGCCTGATGTCTCACAAGTGCAACAGCAGTTGAAGAGAAGGAAGTAATGGTTCGCTTCAGGTAAATCAGCAGTAGGAAAAGATGAAACCGACTTACGGCAGAGCGCATCCACATTTGATGGTAATTGATTAACCAAGGTTTGGGGGGCTTCGCTAGATGGATGTGGCGACGCGTGAAACAAACGAACTGCGCCGCAACGCAGAATCACCGCGAATGCCGTCTGAGCAGCGGGACTCCAACCAAAGTCACGCAGTTCCCAGTTCAGTTGCCCATCTGGCGAAAGTGGCTCACCTCCACAAACACGAAGGGGCCGAGAAATAGAGACTAGATCGCTGGAGGAAGACTGGAAGGGAAAAATGTGCGTCAGCAGTAAAACGCAGACATTAGTCATTCTGAGTGCAAATATGCAAAATTTAGTGGAACAAGAAGCCGCATGCGGGTTTGGAGATTCGTATAAACATGTACATGTGAATGATGCGAAATAACCACATAAAAATATAGGACTCGCCTTAAGTGCGTCATGCAAGTCAACTAGGTTAACGAACGTCCCCTGTGAAGCATTTGAGGTAATAACTGCCAAGACAAGACCATCACAGTTGAAGGCTATCCATGAAACAGGGCATGTGGTCTTGATGCGAACGTCTGGTTGAAGATCCGGAATGGCTTTGTCTCTGCGTAGAGGGGAAGCTTTTGATGCTTCCAGATATCGATTGACACTGTACAACAGGACGCCTGTAAATGACAAAAATGGAACAATGCATCGTCTCAAGCTGAGTAAGAAAACAAAGTATTAATCCTCCGAGAAACAACCCGCTTAGTGAGACTGGGTGGGGAACATCAAACAGATACTACTGCTGTGAACTGATAGAAATAGCACATATGCACAATGATCGAGGTAATACCGGAGTGACCAGTAAAGTAAATCATCAATGCCTCACTTTGACAAAAAATGAGGAGAGGCAAGGAAGAGAACGATGAGTTGCCATTGCGGAAGCTCATACTAGGAGGAAACTAGTCAATAGCTGGTAGGTGGGTCGGCAATCTCAGATAGAAAAACCCACACTAAGTGTATGTGTATATATGGGCTGGTATCTGGGCAGTGCTTCCTTGCAACGACTGTGGAGAGGATAACGGTCCAGCCACCGCATTGTGTGCGCCTGGTACGCATGATTTCCCAAGTAGGCAGAAATGCTTCAGCTTTGCTTGTTGAATGACTGTGGGCTGGCTCCCTTGAAGTAATGTGGTTCCCATCAACATGCCTCCCGGTCTTATTTCGTCTGATTTACACCGGATATAAGTGTGTGGATGGAACTGTGAGTGGTGCCGTGCAAGCCACGCATGGTCCTTTTGTAGACGCAGGTGTCCAGTTGCTATACTATGAAGGTCGTAGTGACAGGCAAATCCAGACACGGATTCCGCAACGGTCAAATGTGTGCTTGAACACTTTTGGAAATCGCTTATGTATAATGTCGACGATTGTGGAATTCTACGCTGCGCAGCATTCTGATGACGTGTGCAAAGCGGTTACGGTTACATAGCAGATTTTGGAGGGACACTCCACAACTTCAACGCGGTGATCCGATCGATGAAGTAGATTCAATCCTTGCTTGTCAAAAACGCGACAGATGCTATTTCGTTTATCGCTTATATGTACAGGAAAATTGTCCACATAGACGTAAGGCACTGTTCGATGCCCTTGTTGTGATAGTTCCGCATTGTGCAGTATCGGTCTACCGATAGCCGAACATGTCAGAGTGGAGATTATGGTAATGTTATGCGGGTATCTAGCTGTAGGTGCACTGAGTGACTATCAATAGTGATAGTGATGAATTTACGAGGTGAGAGAAACCCTTCCTGTGCAGTTGCACAAACGACACTGGACTCCAGTTGATACCACGTAGCTGAAACGCACACCGTGTGGTCGATCGGCAATGTATTTGTGGCGTTTCTTGTAGTAGACGATGTACTGGTGATTGACGAACAGTCAGTTTCTGGCAAAACGTCATTCACCACAATTTTGACAAAAATGTGGGAGGGGGTTCTGTTGTGCACTGTTATAGCCCTCTTTTGGTCCTCTGGTAGAAATATCACAACCATTGCAACTTCTGGTCTCAGTTGTCTCGACTGCAACATTTGTGAGTCACTCTTTAAGACGCAGATTAGCTGCAGTAACGTACTGAGTGGCGAACTTCGGAGATCAATCTAGTTCGGGTAACCGAACCGTTCTGATTTCTGCTTCAGCTACAGTAGTTAACAGGATACAAAACTAATTAACTTGGACTAATCGTCTGTAAGTTGTTTGAACTTGAAACGTTCGCATGAGTGATGCTCTGCACCCGCATACGAAGCATAATCCTCTGATTGATTTCTAACTAGTTTCAAGCAATGAGAACAGATGTTGAAAAAAGTTAATAAATTTTCATCAAAAATGGAAATAAGGATATCGATAGTCTCCTGGAAATTGCAGCTGCAGCATTCATTTGCGCCACACTCAGTAACAGCAACCGTACTTTAACCATATCGCCAAGTGCGATCGCCTCAATCAGAAAGGTGTCTTCACACCGCTTGCGACATAGTGGAAGTCATGTATTCCGCCTACCAACGCTCCAGTTAGAATGAACTCATTTTACTGTGGTGAGTGGTGATGGACAAAGTAAGCTGAAGTGTTGCCTTAGGCGTGTGACGTATGAGGTCGGATCAACTTCTCCAGTCACCCTTGAGTTGAGCACCATTTCTTCGGGAAGTCTGAGATTAACGCCAAAGAGCAACTCAGTGGGACAACAGCCAATGTGTTTTTTATGGTGCTACCAAGAAAGAGAATGGGTAGACGTCTTGACCATTGTGTGTTCGACTGGGAAGCACCAGCTGGAATGAACTCATTTTTTAATGTAATGAGTGCAAAATGTGAGGATGACAGGTGATCTGAACCCGCCTGAAACAAAGGTGTTTCGCCGCTCTTGTTGAGGCACAGCTCACTGTTGCTGTTGGGTATAATGTTGCTATTGTAATTATTGGGTTAACTAGGAATGATCAGCTATCTATTATAACAGAAACTGTTGGAGCGTAGATACGTCAGAATCATTGTGGAGAGACTAGGCGACGGTTTGCGTTCCTCAGCGATGCAATGAGCTATCGTTTGTGGCGCTTATGGATCTTCAGAGCCACTTATACCACATTAGTCAAAGAAAAGATGTCAAATCAACACAGTCTTTTGGTGATCCGGGTTAAGGTGGGGTGGATTCTTACTCCATAAGACAGACGATCCGTAGCTTAGCCCGAAGACCCCGCTAGCCTGCAGTCAGGTTTTTGAATCAGTCTGGGCAATCTGACAGTATCATGCCTATGCGATACAACGATAAATGGAGTGTCGGTGTTGGGAGAAGCAGAATTGAAACAACTATATTTCGGATACGGTACTTTTGATCGGGATTATCGTGATATACTTCAAAGTGAACTGAGGTCTAAATAGTGATTGCGTGTCGCAATCTAACCATACGGCAGGTACTTTAAATCCAACTTTGAATTCCTTACCGCTGTGCCAAGCGTTGCTCACGGATCTTAGTGGCATGGTGATCAAGGTGTCAGCCGTGGACCACGGAGCCCCGAGTTCTACTCCAACTCAAGCTATCTCCATCCATGAGTCCAAACCAGAACAAAAACAATGTGGTGTCAGTTTTGGGAGGAGCACCACCGAAACAACTCCATAACGACATACTCTTCAAATGATTTCTTGATGCGATGACCGTCGGAGAGGACGATCAACGACGCAGGGTGAATAGGAGTGAAGATGCTACTGCTCAGGTCCCTTCGTCTTCTTACCACCAACTCCGTTTGGTACGGAGTGGTGAATATTTGGAATAACCGCATGCAAATATAGTCGAAACAAAGTCGATGCCGGAGTTTAAGAAACTCCTGGACTCGCACTTTGCCGACTTGATAGTTCGAGGATAATCACCATCATAATAAGTAGATTGGCTTAAAAGATTTTAGATGTAGCTATATAAAAGTATCTCTACACGCTGCATTTTCTATGTATTCAGTATTCTTACGCTTTTTCATTCGCATCGTCCCTTTCACTTTTGTCCCCACTAGTTTTAATTCCCCAATCCTTGGCCCTAACCCATCCCGCTTTGAGTCACATGCGTTCGCAGCGCGTCGCTCCGGTTAAGTCGAGAGGTGCATGTCTAACCAAGCGGATATCGTCAGTTCACCCGTTTCTACTTGAAGCCCTCGATCTACGCTAAGATCCGCACGCCTCCACATGTGCACTTGGTTACAGAGTGACTAACAAGCAGTATTTGCACGAACATCAGAGACCTTATCGATCAATATCTGGTTCGCATGGGGAACCTTCAGGACTCCGGTTCTGTGCTAACCCTACCACCCTCTTCATATTACACTGGTGTCACTTTCTCACTGCTTCTGTCCGTAGAAAATGCAGTTTGGAATCCCAATTAAGCCGGTGTGGGCATTGCTTTGAGTCCCCGAGCTGAAACTGTTCAGATCGGATTGGAAGCCTATCAACAGCCGAATGTGAGTCGTCAGATTGATTGGCTCGTCCAGGGCTATGAAGTCGCGCGCAGTCAAACCGTACATGCTTGTCGGTGCTGTTTACAAGTCCACATACTGTAGCAGTGAGTCAGTGAAAGATGACTTCTGGTGCTTTTCTGGTCTAGGCTGTGCTATGTAGCTTGTGAACTACTGGAATGAAAACCTAAAAACAAAATTACAACCAAAATCCTACTACTCACAAGTAATGTAAAAAAGCTGACCTCTGTCACTGAATGGACGAGCTCCGTCTCAAAATGAATACGGATAGTGTGGTGCTGTCGGTGGGCTGAAAGCTCAAATTGAAAATTGTTCACTAGACGTCCAACACAGTGTGGGTTCCCGTAATGATAACGATGAACGGTTGCAACACATGTATAAAGATGTCCGTCTACTTCTAGCGACACAGGAAAATGGCGCCCACGAGCCTCGGAAGCAAATCGATCACATCGCGACCAGATACAGATAGGCATATTATCTCTAAAAGTGTCGTTTGTGCTCCAGCACAAACGTGGACTCAGACTACGTACCTGAGTGTGCCGCTCTAACAGTTCGTTTCGACGGACGCCCGCGGTGAAGATCTGGGTGCATAGACATCAGCTAATCTATGAAATTAGACATTTGAAGCACTGGGTTCCTTGTATCAGTCTAAATAATACAATGAGAAGACGGATGTTGCACCATGATATTTTTTCGCGCTTTCTGATCACATGCAAACGAGCGACATTTAACGATCACGAAAGGGGAAACCAATAACTTAAATGGTGTCGGAATGGGAGTGGAAGAAACATAAGGGGAGAAACTCCAACAGAAGCACAAGGTTTGAGATAAGTGTCACTATCGCCAAGGAAGCTTGAGGGTGACAGTCAAATGTTTTTGCACACATAGGTCCGGACGGCTGTGATTAATTGCCACAGCCTCCGCGAGCTTGAGTATCTTGGCGTTTTCATTACGGTAGATAACCGTAAACGCCAAGTTAGAATCAATTTGGTGCCTCGTTTCAAGTAGATGTCTGGCTATCGAAGAGGCCGGCAATTTGGATCTTGACTCTTGTCCCGGCGATTGTTTTGCCACACTTGTAGCAACCCATTTCGGGATGTGCTCGCTTGAGCAGACTGCTCTGTTCTGCCGATGTAACTGCTTCCACAGTTAGAGACAAAGTTGTAAACGCAATGTGTTGTGGC